GGCCGGACAAGGAGATGCTTTTCCTTTGGCAGAGACAAATAGACAGAGCCAGACCCTCCAGCATCCCGGCTGCTGCTTCTGCACTCAGACGTGATAAATATGTCCCAGAAGAAACCCCAGAAAGCAATGTCCCAGCCTGAAAGGGATCAGCCCCGGGGCAGGATGAGTGCTGTACGGCATGGCACCGGGCCAGGACCCCCTCTCAAACCTTGCACCCCACGCCTGTCCCCGTGTTTTGGTGCAGGATCTCGGTCTGTGCCCTGCAGCTGCCGGGGACCCACGCAGCCACCGCGGGGCAAGGACCAAAGAACGGCCCCTTGCTGAGATCTCCCTCCTCATCCCTGCGGATGTCTCCAAATTAGGGATGTTATTAACTGCAAGCTGCTTTTCCCCCGACTGCTGCTTGCACAAACGATAACTGATTTAAAATGAATTGAGCCAATTACTGCAGTTTTCCTAAAACAGATGACGGCAATACTCGGGTAAGGAGGAGCAATCCCAGCTGCAGCGGGGATAAGAGTTAGACACTGAAATGCCCTTTGGGCCCGAAATTCCAGCTGTCTCGGTTTCCTGGCTAAGTCCGACTGCTTTCCTCAATCGTGTGTGAATTTAGGTGGTAGCAGCCAGGGGCTGCTGAGCAACCTCCGGCCAAAAGTGCTGGAGAAGGCGACGGTACCAGCTCTGTGGGTAGTTATCTGCTGTGAATGGGCGATGCTGGGATGGTCCTTGCTGATTGCAAGCAAGCAGTGCCTGAAAATATCAATCTATTTATGGAAACGTGGAAAGAAATAACTCCGGAATGTTTTTTCAAGGGTGGGACCTTGGGGCTGGGTTTGGGGATCTTCCAGTTCCTTAGGGCTAGTGGATGTGGGGATTTCCCATATGGGAAAGGTGTGGGTTGTCCAAGGGCTCCTAAAGGGTAGCTCCTGCCCCAGGATATTTAACCAAATGGTTATTTCATAGGTATGCCAAGCTGGTCTGCCGTGCCCAGATCTGATCTGCATATGAAGTTCATCAAATTCTAAAGAACAAATAATTGTCACTGGATGTCTTGTCCTTGTAATAGGAGGGGCTTTAGTGAAAAGGAAACATAATGAAGATGGATTAAAGCTTAACTGTGTGAAAATGAGTTAAGGAATCTTGAAATCAGGTTCCCATTTGTCTGCCTTTCCGAATCATGGGAAATATTGATTTACTCGCGCCCGCAGCAGTGACAGCACGCCACGGTCCCAGCAAAGAGGGTGAGCAGTGACATGTGCCACCGGCTCTCCGGGATGGGGACGGGCCGAATCCTGCACTGCTCCTCCGCCGGCTCAGGTTGCCACAAGGTCCGAGCCCTCGGCAGTTTTGGCCGGGGCAAGCAAACACCGCAGGCTGAGCGGAGGAAGAGGCTGGGCGTGCCTTCCTCACGCCAAGGGTGGTGAGCGGCTGGTGCCCGGGCTCCGTCTCGCTGAGGGTGGTGGGACTGAGCTCGAGCTCTTCCCTGTGCCCGTTGTCCTCCCAGTTGGGCTGCAGCCCCCCAGCCCTGGGTTTCCCCCTGCCCTGAGATGCCCCTGGACAGGATAGTCCCCTTCGATGCAGCCCACACAAAAGCCTTTAGAATTGAGATTAGATGAGCTGTTGCAAAACCAATTAGTGATAAAACCCCGTGGGCAAAGCACACAATTGTATCATTTTATTATGTTGCCATCTGAGCAGTAAAAATACATAGATATCCACATATAAAACAATCTGAAACACTGGGTCAGAAATCTGGGCTCCTGCTGCTTCCCTCTTAATCTCCTATTAACTGATACATCTTCTGATTGCTTTTGTCAGCTCTTGAAATTTAATAACTGAACTAACCATCTTCTCCTATTGTTCGCGTATAAATAAGTGTTGGATCGATAAAAAACATCTTTAAAAGCCCCTGGATTTGAAAAACGAGGGGAGCGTGGCCTGGCGGGCAGTTGTAAGAAAATTATGGCTTCACGCCTCCAAAAAACAGTGTTTAAAAACAAGGAGGGGGGGGACAAAAAAGAAAACCCCTTCAAAGAGATGCTTTCTGCTACTGAAAGGTTGAATCAATGAGGGCTAGATGAGGTTTTAGCTTTTGGTTGCAGGTTGCCTGGCTGCTGCACTCCTCCCCTGCCCCTGCCTGGCACAGTTTTGGAGAAACCAGTGCTGCAACTTGGATGCTTTAATTTTTTGCGGGGATTTGCTGAAGGAGAGGCGAGCATCATCAGCTGCTGCTGCGGGGCCGCCTCGGACAGAGAGGGGCTGGAGGCAGAAGCAGAGGGGTTGCTCTCTTGGGATGGGTGTATCTTTTTATTCCTATTTGCAGCCTGAACCCCAAATAAAGCAGCTCCTCCTTTGCATCGTGGATGACTTCAAGCTGTCTGATTTTAAGCTGCCTGCACCTCAGAGCATCGCTGACCGGCCGTGCTCAGGGTCCCGCACGTGCACAGCCCGTCTGCGCAATATCCACCTCGAGAAGGCTCCTTGCAGCAGGGTGGCTGCACCAAAGAGGTAAAGCTGTTCTGCCGGAGGTAATTCCCTCTACAAAGCATCCCTGGGGCCGCAGGGTGCTCGTGACCTTCCCTGGCTTTGCGAACGACGCTCGCTCGTCCGCTGCGGTGTCGCGGGCGGTGACACATCTGGCAAGGCGGCTGGCTGCTGAGCATCGGTGCCGGCATCGCTGCCGGCATTTGCCGGTGCCCAGTGAGCCGCAGCACCGCGGGGCCGGGGCACTCTGCTCCGTCCCTCTCGCGCCCGTGGGAAATTCGGCTGCAAAGCCTCAGCCCACCCTGAGGTGGTCCCTGGCTCTCCGGAGCTCCCTGATAGGTGTCATGGGCTGCTGTTATCCCCCTCCAGGGTCTATTACAGCGTTGTGAATTCTTCCAGCATCGCTGCACGGCAGCAAAAGGTGAGCAGCCCTCAACTATAACTGTAGCATTTAAAAAAAGAAAAAAAAAAGTGTGAGTGGGGATACAGAGCCAGGCACCGAGCTCTGTTCAGGGCGTGTAGTTATGGAGGGTTGCGTTCCCGTAATATATCCCACTCAAAAGTCTAGGGGGTGAGATAAGCAATGCCGAGGAGGCCTCCTTCGCACACGGCGTGTTCAATCACTCGCTATAAAAAAGCCCCGGTGCCTCCGCTCCTCTGCTTCTCCCTCGCTTCAAAGAACAAAAGGAAATGGGCTTGTTGCTTTGTAGGCGAAGCAAAGGAGGCTCCTGAGACCTGGGGAGAGCGGGCCATGAATTATTCAGCGTAGCTGTCGGTGCAGGAGTGGTGCCGAGCCCTGCTCCCGCGGTGACCCCAGCATCGGGGCTCGGGCAGGAGCCCCGAATTTGGAGGGATGCAGGCGCAGTCCCGCTGGGTCCGGAGGCAGGAGGGTTGCCTGGAGAGCTGGGGCTGGGGGCAGCATCCTTCCCCCCTCCCCAGGGCACGGCTGTGCTGGTGGGTTGGAGCAAAAGGTGGTTTCTATTCCTGCATCCCCATCCCGGCGGTGAGCCTTGGGCTTCCCACCGGTTTTGGTTGCTTTGGACCAAAAAAGGAGGAAAAATGCCTGAGAGGGGGCACGCGTGTGCTGAGTGGGGAGGGTGGCGGAGGGCGAGAGCCCCGGCAGCAAATGCACTCGGGATTGCTCTTCAGCCGGCTCGGTAACAAATTTACTGACACAGGGAACAATTTTTCCCTGACTCCGCCAATTCCTTAACGACGCTGGCTCGAAGGGCCCCGCGGGGAGGGGAACTTGAACTCTGCAAAAATCTCTCTGCTGAAGCTTTATTTAAGGCTACGTGGGGGATGCTTAAATATTAAAGGCTGAGACAATAACGGCTGGTGGTAGGCTGGGCAGCGGGGGCCGTGGTACAAGTGGTGGCACCGGCTGCCCTGTGCCCTGTCTGTGCCTCTCTTTGCCTCTGAACCCCTTTGATGCTCCAGCTAATGGGGCTGTCACCTTGCTGGGGACAGTCACTGCTCTCCCCTCCGTTATCTAGGCTGCTCTCACCCGCAGGTCCCCTTTCCATGGCTTTTGCGACAGCTCCGGGCTTGCGTCTCTAACAGCAGGATCGCATTTTCTCAGCTGGACATCAGCGTCTTGTCAACGCAGCCCACGAGAAAGGACAAGGACTGAGCATCTGTATTTTTCTCTGTGCTGCTTTTGTTTATTTCTTATTTTTTTAATCCCTACTTCTTGACTGTAGAAGTCTTTGTGCTGACACAATATTATTTATTTATAAAATATGTACAGGAAAGCGCTCGGGTACCAGTCCCACCCTCCAAGGTTGGCCGTGCGTGTCCGACCGGCAGGAGCAGAGGTGAAAGACGGTTTCTCTGCCTTGGAGTCGGGAGGAGGCGGAGAAAGGAAAGGGCTGAGAAAGATAGAGACTTCAAAGTATGTAAGCAAATATTTACAGGTTCCAAGACAAAAAAAATAGATATCTACAGTGTTGTCCTGGGGATACAGGGAGTCGGGCTTGAAGCGAAGCCTGCTCCCAGCTCCGTTTGTTAATATTGATTTGTAAAGACTATGGGTATTGCTTTCCATCGGCTGTGCCGGCAGCGGGGTGCGCAGCTCCGGCGAGCCCCAGGCTCAGGTGCTGGCAAGGGGCAGCCGGGACCGCTCCAGCCACGGGTTTGTGCTTCTGGGGCTTTCGCAATGGTGCTTTGTCTGCATTCTTAGTTTTTGTAAATGAGGGCCGAATGCCTCTGTGATACTCCCTTGAGCGCCGGGGACAGGGGATGCTAGCAGGGAGCGTGTTTCAGAGCGGCAAGGAGGAAAGTATTGCAGTTTGGGGTTTCCCGCTGGCTGCTGCTGTTTTAACACGATGTGAACAAAGCAGGGGGTTTTGCTGGCGCTTGGGACAGGTAGGGACAGTCCCCAAAAGCTGACCAGCTCCTGGGAGCTGGGGAAGGGACCTGGTCTTCCCTGCAAGGGGCTGTGTCAGTGTGGAAGAGCTCAGCGTGCCGTGTTTGCACCAGTGGGTGCAGGGGTGCCCCGGCGAGCGTGCCCAGGGCCGGGGGTCTGCACGTGGGGGGGAAGCTACCGCAGTACGTGCACAGCTAACTGCTCGTGCAGGGGAGGGTGTCGGTGCACAAGGGAGTGACTCCATGAAATGAGACTGTGGGTGCGTGGGTGTCTCTCTCAGTCCCCAAGCTCGACAGGTCGCCCCAGTTCAAACTGTCCATGGTCTATGCAGGTGATACTTGGCTGGAGGAGACAGAGGAGACCTCGGTCTTGCTCTGGGATACGGTGGAGGAGACCTCTTCATCCCCAAAGGGGTTCTTGCCGCAGCAGATTGTGGTGATCATGCAGTTGCGGAACTGAAGGAGGGAGAGAAATGGAGAACGATGGCACTGGGGGCCAGCAGGGATGTGCTGCTGTGCTGAGAGCCGCCGACAGCCCCCGAGCTTGCTGCTCCCCCCAGGCTGAGACGCAGTCACTTACGGGGAGGAGCAAGGTGCCTGCGGTGACCCCAGGCGTGCCGGTAAGCCAAGGGCAGAGGCTCACCCTGCATGACATTTGGCATCTCACCTGTTTGTTCATGAGGACGTAGATGATGGGGTTGTAGAGGGAGGAGCTCTTGGAGAAGAAGGCAGGCACTGCCATGAGCGTGGCGGTGAAGTCTGCTCCCTTGTTGGTGAAGATCCAGAACGCCACCACGGCGTAGGGCGTCCAGGCCAGCATAAACCCCAGCACCATGAGGATCACCATCCGCGTCACCTCTTTCTCGGCCTTCTGGGTCGTGGCCGACTCCTGCTGCTGGGCAGCTGCCTGTGGGCAGAGGGGGTGGTGAGGGGCACCCCGCAGCTTTCTGCCCCCGGACCACCTCCCTCCTCCTGCCCGAGCTGCCCACCCTGTCCCTGTTCATCCCCTCCCGACGTTACCTCTCGGACTTTGCAAATGAGACGTCCATAGGAGAAGAAAATGACCACGACCGGGATGATGAAGTGGATGATGAACATGTAGAGGACGTAGGACTCGTTGTGGTAGTCAGGGTTGTGGGGGTAGTAGTCGGGGAAGTAGTCGGGGCCACAGGAACACTGCATCCCCTCCGGCATGTATCTGCCAGTGAGAAAGGTTAGGATCTTCGCCAGAACCCTCCCTGGGGACAACAGGAGGGGTTCAACCTGGGGACCGAATTCCCCCAGGATGGGGGATGCTCCATGGCACGTGTGTTTTGGGTGAGCTCCTCCCCGGCTTCTCCTCCGCGCCCCATGCACCCGGCCTCGCTGGCTCTGCAGCGCCGGGCTCCTTCGGGGCCAGCAGCGAGCCACGCCGACATGTTGCACTTGGGCGTGTAGCATCAGTTTGTTGTGGCACTCGCTCCATCCCACGGGGAACAGGCTATTTATTTCCTTTTTACGTGGCTGAACGCTTGCCTGCCGGGAACCGCCTGCTCTCCCTCTGTGGATGGAGGGACGCTGAGTGGGGACAGGAGCCGCTGGCTTGGTGGGTCCCAGCACTTGAGGGCTTTGTCCCTGCTGCTGCACGGGGCGGAGGGATGCACAGCCTGTGCCTGGAGGGGCCCTGGCTCAGAGGGATGTGGCTCAGGTCTGCTTGGGAGCCAAGGACCAGTTGCCTGGGCAGGGATCCCAATTCAAGGCTGGAGAGAGACCATCTGGCTCATCGCAGGTGGATGGTAAAGCGACTTTGCTGCTCTAAAGCCACCTCTTGCACATGCCCAAAGGGCTGGCTATGACCCCACAGGGCAGCTCTGCAGTGGGGTGTCAGGAGGGGCCGGAGCTGCAGCGTTAGAGAAATTACCTCCATCTCCTCAGCTCCTCCCATACGCTCCGGGTGGCCTTTGGCTGCTGCATCAGCTCCTGGCCAGGGATGTGGGTGCGTGCAAGAGCCAGACATGGGCTTTAGCTGCCCGGAGGACACACTCGCTGGAGCCTAGTGAGCAGGTTGTGGTGTGAGCAGCCAGCGTTGCCTCTGTTATTGTTGGGGGGCATTTGTTGGTGGGGGGCTGAAATGAGCTGCGGTGCTGGGAGCAGGACAGATGGGCTCCTGGGGAGAGTGGGGCAGGGGTGCTGGGAAAGGTGCTGCAGGGCTTCCAGGAGCAATGCTGGGGTTGCAGCACGTCAGCAAGGCCAGGTTTGCCTCCCCAAACCTGGCCTGGTCATCTAAACACTCTTTATGGTCTGCAGAGAGAAATGGGCTCTTCACAGCACGGGTGAGATGAGCTGTGCCTGTCGAAGCCCCTCTTTCTCCGCAGAACATAAAGGGAGCACGAAGGACTATTGCAGTTGGAGATGCTGAGCCTGTGGCTGCCTTTGGTTAGGGGACACCAAGCCATACAGCTGAGGTCCCATTTCTGTTCTGACTCGCCCCATTGCCTCTCTCGCCTGCAGCCCAGGGAGTTTCACGTCCGAGCCACGAGTGCATCTCCTGTCCCGCTGGGGTGTTTGCTCAGCTGCCACTGAGCATCCTTTGACTCACCTGGACCAGCCGAAGAGGGGTGGAGCGGCACAGGAAAAGGCCATTATCCAGGTAAAAGCGATGCCCATCATGGCGTGGGTTGCGGAGAAGCGGAAGTTTCCCATGGGTTTGCAGACGACGATGTAGCGCTCTATGGCCAAGACAACCAGGGACCACAAGGCGACTTGGCCTGCGGGAGGGAGAGAAAGAGAGAGCGTACGGTGGTGGTAAGAGCTCCTCTGGGCTTGATCTTCCCTTCGTGGTCTCGTGGTTCCAGCGAAGAGCAGAGGGAACTGAGGAGTTGGGGATCAGCGAGGGATAACCAGCATCCTACTCAATAACTGAGAATCTCCCGGCCGTAAAGTGCAAAAGGTCTGGGAGCCGAGGGGAGCGTCTGTGCCGCAGCGGGATGCTGGTGATGGAGGAGGGATCATCATGTTTTTTTAATAGTTTAAAAAATCAAGGCGGTGAATTCCACCTGGGCACGAGGAAGCACAATTTCCGGCAAAGATGCCAGATGTGTCCAAACCTGTTGATGTCTTTAAATGTGTATTTCATGAGTCTTCTGCCAGTGCTGGATCAGGGGGAGGTGTACGGGGGAGGCTGTGTGGGTGGGCATGCGTGCACATGTATTCATAAGGGATAATTAAACTTCAGGGGATTGGGAGTGTTTAGTCGGTGCTGTAAGCCTGCTAATGCCCCCAGCTGTGATAATCTGCTGATAACTACACCCTGTGCTAGGATTCGCTGGAGACCTGCTGCTCGCACAGTGACGGCTTCCCATCAAACTTTCTTCCCTGTGAACAGGAGCCTCCTTGTTCTTTACTAGCTACAAACATCGGAAGGGCAAGTAATGCTGCCTGAAAGCCCACAGGCTCACTCGATCAGAAATGGTGCAGACCCATATGATCTTCTGACTCCAAGACCAAGCCCCTCCTCGGTCCTTGGCTTGGATCAGGACATTTAGCTTTGCTTTTGCCGGGCAGAATATAATTGGTTTTTTTTTTTCCCAGATCAGCATCATTGCAGGAAATCGCCCCATTTAGAGAAAAAAAAAGTGAAGTCCTTGCAATGGTTATGGATCTCTACAGCAAGGATTAGCGGTTGTCAGATCCATCACGAGGTGTCATGTGGGCCCGGCTGGCTGCGTGGGCATGGGGTGCAAAATGAATTTTCCCATTTTCCCTGTTTTGCACGGGGGCTTTCTGCAGGGTGAAGCGTTAACAGCTCTCATGTCCCTGAGAAGCGAAATAAGGAAGCTCCCAAGGGCACCCAAGTCGAGTGCAACTGGGACAAGAGCTGAGCAATTGCTGCAAAGCCTGGGCCTGGTTTCCCTAGCTCTGTGCAACCCTGAATCCTCCTTCCCCTCCACCCTGCTGCTCTTCTCTTCTGGTTAAGAGCTGCCACATCTTCCTTTTGCCCCAAGATAAGTTGTGACCCCTCTCCTGGTCTTGAACTCCTCCTCTCCATGCCCATACCCCTTCTGCGGGGTCCCTCTCCCGAGTGGTCCCTCTCCCAAGGGATGTCTTTTTCCTCCCCAAACCCTCCCAAATGCTTCACCTTTTCCCAAGAAAAGGCTTTTGGCAAAGATGCTTGACATTGATTCAAGGACATGATGTGGTCATCCTCCTCTGCTAGCCATGCAACTTCAGTGTGAGACCCCCTGAATGCAAGATGGGCAGTGTGGCCAGATGACCCCAGGCTTGATCCTGCAAACAAGGATCCCTTCCTGGTATTCGTTTCCTTGCAGCTGCCCTGCTAGTCATAAGATGGGCGCTTCTTGGCATCAAGATCAAACTTGCATAAATCCCTCTTTTTATATCCCCGTCTTTAAGCCGCGGGGAAGCAGCGACTCCCATGGCGAGCTCGGCCCCATGCAACGAGCTGCGACACCGCAGCGGCGTGCGAGATGGCTTTCTGCACGGGAGGGATGCTGCATGCATCGCAGCCGTCCCAATAGCATGATGAGGGAGTGGAACTGGGCTCCTAAAGCCCTGAAGAAGCAAGATCACCCACTGCCAAGCCTGGCCCTTAGACCCAAGCTCCCACCCCACAGCCCTTACCTCCCAGTGTGGCGAAGAAGCCCTCAATGGCACAGCCGACGGGTCCGAAGACGAAATAGCCGTTCCAGGCAGTGTAGAAGGTGACCGTGAAGCCAAAACAGGCCATGAAGAGGTCAGCCACCGCCAAGTTGACCAAGATGTAGTTGAGCGGCTGCCGGAGCTTCTTGTGTTTGAAGGTGACCAGGAGGGTGAGGAGGTTGATGGGCAAACCGGTGGAGATGAGGAAGAAGATGTAGCAACACACGACGCGGTATTTCCAGGGCTCGGCTAGGTAATACTGGGGGTACTCGAAGGGGCTTCGCACCACCCCTGTCTTGTTGGACATAGGCACATAAAAATTGATACCTTCCGTCCCATTCATCCTGCCAATGTTATAGCAGCTGCTTTGCTTTTAAGGGGTTTTTAAAAATGAAATGCTCTGGGTTTGTAATTAATTTTGCTTCAACCCCAATTAAAAAAAAAAAAAAAAAGGGAAGCCCCACCCCCCAATGTGGAAAAATACCCAACTAAAGGACACCCCCCCCAATCAAAAAAATAAATTAATTAATAAGAACAACAGTAAATCCCGAGGGGACGGGAGGTGGTGCGCTGCCCCTGCTCCGCGTCGAGGGCTGGCGGTGCCCGCGTGCCAGGGAGGTTTTATACCCTTCGGCCTCCTCGAGGGAGCGCGGGGGGAGGCTGGATTAGGGGCTCGGCTAACTTTGTATGACAAGGGCAACGGGATTGAGAGGGGCTGATGGTTTAAGCACCCTCTAAGCAGCCAGTTGGCCCCAAAACCTGCATTAAAGCGTATTAATTGCCATTAAGTGTTTAATATTGTTTAAGGAGTTGGGGGGAGGAAGGGATGGGGTGGGGAGCCCTTTGGAAGAGGGGCAAAGGTAGGAGGAGCAGTGGTGAGTTGGGGAGCGGCTGCTTTGGGCGATTGATGGGGAAATGGGTCCATGCTCGGGTCCATAGTGGGTCACAGCTTTTGGGGTATCCCTGGGTGGCTGAAAGACTCCATGGGAGCATTTGGGGACTAGGGAGTGCCCAGCTCTGCCCCGTTGATCTTGGGGAGGTCGCTGGGGGAAGGCTGGACAAAGCTCTGCGGGTCTGAGCCGTGGGCTCGGCTCCGGCTGTTTGGCTGCTCTGTGCTTGGGGTGCCTGGTTCAACGTGGGTGCTGCCCGATACGGATACGTGTCCCCATCACAGAGCAAAACGGGGCTCTGCTGACATGGCCAAGGGCCACCTCTGCGCACGGAGCTGGCCAAAGGCGGGAGGAGAAACCGTTTCCATCCCATCTTGGTAAACACAGCATTTTGGGGGCAGGTCTCTTGGCTGTATTACGCCCTGAATCGTGCGCCCTGCTTGTGCTAGAGTGCAAAGGACTATGAATTTCCTCCTCTGCCTTGTCTCCTCTCTGGGATGAAGGATATATGTCATTCAGCTGATCCTCCAAGGATCGCTGGAGGGACAGGAGGGAATACACCATCCAACAGGGATGGATGTGGCACAATCAGCCCTGCGACTCCCTGTCTCCTGGGGAGCTGGTGGTGAGCGTTTCCCACCCGAGCCTCCTCCCCATCCCAGCCAGTGGGACACCAATCTGGGTTGCAGCTTTGCAAGGTCTGGCGGGGTTTAGGGAGGGTCACAGCTCTAAAACCAGCCTGACAAAGTGCCACTACTTGCTGGAGAAGCAGCGCCTGAGTGCCCTGGGGGAGAGAAGGTAAAGCCTCAGCCATGATGATGTCCTGAATTCCCTCAGAGATAGTGCAGGGAGACCAGTACCAGCCTGCAGCCACACTGGGAGAGCAAGCAGGCTGGAAAGAAGCTTCTCCCAGTCTCTTAGCACTCAGTATGGGGTGTGGGATCCCCACCCCAGCACACATGAGACCGTGAAACTCTTCTCAGCAGGGTCGGTGCCAGCTTGGAGCACCAATGCTCCATCTCATCCAAGCTCTTTCCCCATTTTTTCCTTCTGGGTCATGGGTGCTCCTTCTCCAGGAGACCTGCCTAAGGCGCCTTAGTGAAGCTCTTCCATTAATCTCTGACATCTGGTGGCGTTAATGGCCCTGATCTGTTAATGCGGTAAGCTGTTAGCCTCTTTCTCACCGCTGCCCTCCGCCAAGACAAGGTGGATGGAAAAAGTCAATGCTGTCTTGCTGGATGAATGATGAGGTCTTCTGCAAGCCTGGAGTGTCTCAGAGCTAGAGGGCAGGAGCGGAAGGCTAAGGGGTATAGGTGGGATGAATGATGTCCTAATCGCTGATCCGTCTGTGCAGGTCTGAGAGGAGCAGAACTAGGATGTGGAGAGGGTAAGTGGGTCACATCAGCCTCAGGTGCCCTGGGACAAGGACTCCCCATGGGATGTCTGTGCCTCTCCGAAGGTATCTCACTGCACGTCCTGAAAACTGCTGGTCATGAAATTCCCAGTCTAGGTCTTCCTTCAGGGGAAGAGTTTCTTGTGGAGAAGTCCCATGGCCTTACTTCTCATAAAGCTTTCCCTGGAGGTATTTCATGCTTCTCCTGGCCATAGTTAGGCTTCTGGATATACAAAAGTTGGGCACATTTTTGCAGAATTAGTTGAATGTTAAAGGACAACCCAGAAATGCTGTGCATCTCAATGCCAGTGTGTCCCTCCCAACTTCCATGGTAGAAAGCAACGCTTTTCAGCTAAAAGATTTCACTATGATGAAAGACTTCATAAGGCTTGGACTTTGCTGTCAGTGCCAGCAGCATCTGCAAGCCCTGGTGCTTCTCTAAGGTTTTGTAGATGAACATGGTTATGTCATGGGACAATGAATTTTCATCTTCCAGAAAGCAATTTTCACCTCCCATCTCTGTGAGACTTTCTGCTATGTCTTTGCGGTGCCCCGTCTTCTCCTAAAGAGTAGAGTTTTACAAATGAAGCATAGCTATGGGGAGAAGAGGTGAAATGTTTTGGGTGGTGGGGGAAAGCATTAGCAGTATTTTTTGCACAGAGATTTTTTTTCCTTGATCAGTGCAAACCCTCTCCCTCGCTCTTTCAGCTAAGCTGCGGTGCAACTTTGGCTTCATGCATGGTACCGAGAAACCTTTCATACAGAGGATTTCCAACAACCGGACCAAGAGGACTTTCACCTGACTTTCAACTCGATCTGGACCAGGACCTTTCCCCTTTTTGGGAGCTGAATATGGAGCAGGTAAGCCCGAGTCGCCTCTGTCGTGCTAACAGGGGTCTGTCCCTTCCCAGCTGTCCTCATGGACTCGGCTTTCTCCCCCTGCGAGCTGAGGTCGGTTTTTCGGTCGATACCCTGAGGCTGGTGGATTTAGAGCTCTCTGCAGGTCAGCCACAGCCGGAGCAATGCCGAAGGCCTCGAATAAACTCAGCGTAGGAAAATGACACCGGAGAGGATAGCTGGTTCCTCCAGGACGTGTCCTGAATGCAACCTCGGTTCTCTCTGTGTCTCTGTCACAGAAATGGAAAGTGATGGCTTTAATTTGGTGTCTCTTAACAGAGAAACTTTATGGGCTGTCTCCCAGAGAGGTCTCAATTGTTTTCTATGCTCAATTGTTTTCTATGTCATAGAAGACATAGAAGGCAAATACGACAAAGAAGGCAATAGCAAAATTCAGGCCCTGTTTAATGTGAGAGGAGAAGCTTGCTTTCTTTGTGTTTGTCCTTAAGAAAAGGAAGGGTTTTCTTCCTTCTTGCATTTTTTTCTGCTTTGCTAAGCTCTTTGAGATGAGATTCTCTCTTATTCATTGTTTGTCAGCACATTGCGTGACGGAGCCCCGAGCTGCTCCGGGCTTTCATGTCCTGTGTAAAGCAAGAAATGATAATTATAATCAAATAACTAACGTGCACTGAGCTGATACGGTTGGTTCACTGGGCTCAAGCGACAGGCAGAGAAACCACGCGGATGTGCTGGGGGAGGTGGGTTTCCCGGAGCGGTGGCAGCTGGGAGCCCTTTGCGGTGCCTCTCCCCGTCCCTGTGCAAGGCTCGTCATCGCCGCTTGGGCAAAGGCACAGGAGCGACTTGCCCAAGGGCACGCAGGGAATGATTTGCAAAGCAAGGTGTAGAGAAATGCAAAAGCAATAGAAATCAGTCACCAAGCAAACATCTCTGCTTAAATTCTGGTGATGGGCTAACGCACAGGACCTTGAACCTTGGCCATGAGCACTGACGCTGAATGCAAAACGGTGCCGAGCTCGATTTTGTGCTTTTGTGGTTTTGTAACGTGCTGCCCTGAATCTCCCTTCTGGAGGGGCTCATTCCTCCCTCGTGGGCAGGCATCTACTACGGTGCCTGCCGGTACCCCCGGCTGCCCTGGGAAGACCTCGGTCCCCATATCAGATAGCAGCCACGCGTGGCCGCTGCCCTGAGCCGCTTACGCCGGGCTTGCGAGCTCCCTCGCCAGGAAAAGGGTTAAAGTAAGATAAAGCCGGAGCGTTATAGAGACCATATGGAGGGGAAGAAAACCCTTTATCCTGTAATTGGATTCGTTCCCGGCGGCTCCCGGCGGAGGTGAGGCTGAGTGGAGCTGACAGGTCGTGATGGGCGAGGCGCTGCCAGCCGCCCCGTCCAAAGCAGGATGTGTGTGCACAAACTTGTAGATCAATCCATTAGAGTGGATCAAATAGATTTAAATGTGTGGCAGGGAGAAGGAGGGCACAGATGTATTTGCAATTCGGTTCGGTGGGCTGTTCCTCCCTCAGCGGGGATTAACTCGGCTGCTCCGAGGAGGCACCGTGCCCTGCCGGGGCCGGCTGCCTGCTGCTCCTCCGGGCTTGCACGGTCGCATCCATCCAGGACAAGGATCTGGTGGTGCAGAAGGAGGTTCCTTGCGCCATGCCCTTGCTTCTTTTCCAAAAAATAAGGGTGCATGGAAGCCTGTCTCCTGCCTTGCTCGCAGGCCCCAACGGGCTGCAGCCGCGGGCTTTGGGCAGGAGGAATCCCAGCTCCTGTTCTCCGTGCAGGTTCCCCGTCACGGCTCCTTCTCCAGGCTCTCCCCACCAGCACAGCCTCGCAGGGGGTGGATGCACCAGAGCCAGAAGGCAGCTGGAAAGTGGGGAGAGCTTCGCCACTGCCAACCTCATCTCATTTGCACGGTATTCGCAAGCAAGCACGTCCCTGTCACCTCCCAGGCTTTTCCTCCTGCTGCTCATCCAGGTAACATCCCTGCAAGCACCGTAGGATTTCCTTGGAGAGATAGAAAGTCTTTGGGACCCATCATTTTCTTGCCAAGGAGCTGAGCAATCCCGGCTCAGCTGTGAACCTGCACCACTCCGTGTGGTGCTGTCAACACTTTTAACGAAGTGATAAACCAGGGCTGTAGCAGAGTAGGCAGGTTTGCAAGACAGTCTCACCGGCCACGCAGCACCACGGGACGAGCAGCCAGCACAGCCCAGCAAATCCAAGCAGCACAAGCCCATTTCCCTGTGTGTTAGCAGCTGTGCAAGGGAGCAAGCCATCCTCTGAGGAGGGTGATGGCCAATGCAAGGGAGAAGATGCT